AGACCAAGTGTCTTCATCCACTAAGAAACCATCAGAAGCACTGAACTAAATCATATCGGAAAGCAGACGGGATACAGCACCACAAACTTCGCGCAAACCTGAGTGCGAAAGAGCAGTGAGTGCACAAAGGGGCAGCTCCTGGCCAGGTGAGGGCCGGCTACTCTCCGCACCCGGCCTCACCCCGGAAATTTCTCATCCTTGCCCGTACAACTGCGCACAAGAGTGTGGATCAGTGATGAAGCATGGCAGTGCAAAAACATATAACAAGGGCTGCTGAGCTTATGGTCAGGTAGGTAAAGTGGCTTACGGTATGCCCAACTGTGTGCAATCACAAAACCAACATGTTTGATTTCACGCGCAATTCCGGGGAGTACTGTACCCCGCCTATTTTCCGAAATCTATAATCTTCGTCAGCATTTGGAATGCTTACTACTCTCCTCCTACGTACCTTATTATCAATGAGGTTGTGCAACGCAATCACGGATCGCACTAATGAGCCCATATAGACACACATCAATTGGTCGTTCGTCTGTACGTTTTGAGCAGTGACATAGTCAGGGTGAGTGACATCCGGTAACAGGTTCAGTACTTCCTGAAGGAGAATCAATCGTATACGACGACATGATTTTCAGATGAATGACATTACAACCGATCGGTTATGACAGAATTAAAACTATGCCAGGCATGTTTGAAAAGAACACTTCCTTTTGGAGAAAAGTCAAAGCGTTCCTATAACCAAACTGGTTTTACCTGAATGTGATAGATTACGGGATGGTTGATAGGAAGGCGATGTGCTGCAACATCTTGCAAATACCTGCAATGAAAACAACACTACCGATTGACTATTTTACAAATCTAAGCAATTACAAATAAGCAGAAACAGTGACTGTCCTACCCGTGCATAAAGGTGAGTTAAGTAAGTCAAGGTCAAGCTTCATAGAGACCGGACAATCGAAATTCAAGAGCCAAAAACGATAAAGTATCACAAAACAACCCATGGATTGGATCAAGAGGGCCTTATACCTTGACCCTGGCCCTATTCATGGCTTGATCATGGCCCCATTAAAATGTACATTGAACGCCTGACGTCCGTTAAAACAATTATTTAAGAGCAAAGATTACTGCTTACTGACTTTTCTATATCAACCAGTTGTGAGTGTAGTCCTCGGAGTCCCATCAGTTGATCTGTTATCCGTTGGGACAACGTTCCTGCGGTTTGGTCTTTGATGTCTCTGCAAAATTAGAATTGCAATTGCAAAACTTCAATGGCTAATCAGTGATATTTAACGCATCCAAAAACATAACAAAACTAACCTTAACAAATGTTCCACTCCCACTTCTTCGGCCTCTTCAGCTCCTATTTCACTCGCTACGTGCTCAAACGTCTTAATAGGAGGGGTTCCATCCTGAAAATGCATAAAATGAGTGAAAAATGCTAAACATTAAGCTAAAATCACAGTAACCCTCCACATTACATTTAGCGGATTTGATGAGGAGCAGTCACGAGAATATAAACTAAAAAAATGCCTCACATCATGGACTTCTTGCACTTCGATATAAGCCTCTGTTGGAAGACCAATATCCTTTGGCTCAGCCTCGATAATTACGAGGACTGGATGTGGAGTGAAACGCTTCATCTGCTCATTGATTGCGATGTCATTCTACAAAACAAAAGTAAATGAATAGGCAAAATCACTGTGAACCTGAATACCACAAACATTCTTTTTCTACAGCGGATGAGGGCCGTGTCAGGCGGGATGGTTGACGCGGCGCCGAGCACGCGACGGGATTGCATCATATCGTTTGTATCACTCGTTTTCTGCCAATTGGTGTTGCTTACCCGCTTTAACGACTGGTGAAGATAGGCGGATTTGGCGCCGCGCTAACGCATTCCGTCCGCCACGCCCAGGCGGAATCGGCGGCGCGCTAAACGCATCCCGTCCGCCACGCCCAGGCGTATTTGGCGGCGCGCTGAACACATCTCGCCCTCCACGCCCCTCCATCCGCAGCGAACAAAGTTGTAGGGACATTTGAAGTGATGCAGTCAAGGAAAAAAAGGGTATGTCAGAAACTAGCAGCTTACCTTGTGCAATTTCGGCCCAGTGTGATACCAACCGACAATCTTCTCTTTAGCTGCAACTTTGTGGAACATGCTATACATACTTTCAAGGTAATCCATGTCGAGGAACCATGTGCTTTTGTCCTTTTCATCCTCATCAAACGGTACTGAACATAAAATGATTCGCTCTGAGTAGGAAGGTACTTTTTATAAACAGCATTCTTCTCCCACTGCAGCCGCGTAATATGCAGGAAAGACAATCTGAAGATGGACGTGATTGCTATTGGCCTATCCGCAGCCGATGCATGGAACCGGGATCGTTGGAAGCTTTCGTCAAAGCGTACCACATAACAGTTAGACAAGAACGCTAGGGAAATGAAGAAGAAGGAGAATTAAGAAGGGAATCCTCTCCTTGGGACAAAAAAAATTGGACAGGCAAAAAAAATCGGAATTTTCTGTTCTCAAACCAGTACTAACGACCCTAAGCAAACACAGAAGTATGTGAAGTGTAGGTCAAAGGAAAGAAGGCCACCAACACGAGGAGCGGTTTCATGCATTTCAGGGAATTTGGAGTCGAATAATCGTGGATAGCTCTAAACTCCTGTGAAATCGATTCCACGGATTATGAAGGCCCTCTTCAAGTCCAGTAATAAGCAAACCGAATACAGAGCGATAAAAGTTTTTTTTCTGTTGAATTCCCGCTATCTGCTCACCTTTCCACTGTACTGCTGTTGAATAATAGCTTCAGAACTGTTTAAAAAGCAATTTTGTGACTTGTTCCAAGTTTTTTTTTCGCAGCTGTAGTTTATGTGTAAAAAAAATCCGCAATGACAGCCGGTAAAAACAATAACCCGGCTACTCTGATGCCAAGGAAGCCCCTACGCTAGGAGCAGCAGTAAAACGAGAAAAGGACTCGCTAGTTGCAAAGTTCATTCACTGCAAATGTAAGGCTAAAAGCATACTCATGAATAGGTTCATCCAACCATCGAAAGAGAGAGGAATTTGGCTGAGTGCTTAAACGCACCCCATGCAGATGAAGCCGGAAGAAAAGACTTGCAGTATGACTGCTAGGAAAATCAAGCTCATGTGCTTGTATATGTTACAAACGGGAAACTACAGCTGATCCAGTGAAGGAGATCACGACTTCTCGTTGCAACACATGAACAAAATTCTTATCAGATTGAAGCCTCGTATAACACCATGTAATAGTGACATTCACCTCAACATGAATGTCTTTCCTAACAACCACAACATTTCCCCTTTTCTACTTGTGACTCGCCTTCCCCAAGAGCCTGCGTGTGAAACTGATGGGAATGTACCAAGGTGGTTGTCTTTCATCGAGGATAGGCATAGTCGCAATAACAACTTATCGGTGCATTTATGTCAAAAGAACAACCTGCTTGCTGGCTTGCTGTTTCCTCCCTTGCCGTACCTACAGGGCATTTCCTTGCGAACCAGAAATAAACAGAACGACATGCCAGGAACAGAACCTACAAACCGACGGTGTGGGTACTGTGAGGCCGTGGGGAGCTTTATATCCGTGTTGCGAGAATGCATCGAAGGCGAATTTACCAGCTGCACCACGTCTGTGTCATTCACACAAGGGCCAGATTCATTCAACACAGTCTGCTACGCTTTGCTGTGCCAAACAGCTAGGAAACCCGGCGCTGTTTATCGACGGGAGGGGGCATTTTGTATTATAATTGATTCCCTGGTTCCGGTTTACAAATCTCACACTGGTAAAACTTGTGAACGCTTGTGAAGCTGGAGCAAAATCGTCTAGCTACCATCCCAAAGCGTGTCAACTCGAAAAGGGGACCTAGATGAGTTGGCAAATCTAATGAAAAGCAGAATGCCCCCCCGTCGATAAACAGCGCCGAATAACCCTAATAGTTTATGTGAATCGTCGCAAGTGGGTATAATGTCACACATATACAAACAGACACAATAGGTTGTTCGCATAATAGAGAAACTATCTAGAACTCTGAGGCGGAGGTGGTAGTGACAAGTGGCGCGCTTCACCACTCGCGCGTCCTGGGTTCGAATCCCAGGTCGACACCCGCCCAGGCCAACCAAGCCTTCTACCCTCCGGGGACGGTAAATTGGTACCAGATTCGTCTGGGAGGATAAAACACTGACTTGTACATCGGCTGGCCCCGCAAGTCATTGTATAGGCCACATCGCATTCAATAAGCCACTACGATTCTGAATGGAAGTAGAATGCGTGCCGCATCCCACAAAGGGATTGATCAACGGCGAAGACTTTATCCTTTATCTAGAACTATCGGACGTAATTATAGAAGTTGCTACTTGAGCAGCGACTTTTAAAATAAAGCAAGTACAACTTAAGCAATACTTTCGTGGTATACCAGCTTTGGAAAGTTCGCGCTAAGTCGATCTTCGCTTAGTTCATTATTTGAACTGGAAAGTGAGCACACTGGCTAGCCCATTTCTTCGAAGTTACTTTCTGGATAGTTTCGTCCAGCATAGGACCGAGAAATGATAGGCTTCATGGAAGGCACGCGTAGTCCTTCAAAAAAAGGTCGGTTTTGAAAGAGTATAACAAAGTTGGTGGAATGAGGTGGCCTCACTGAGAAAACAACAACAGCCTTCTCAAACCAATATCATAGCCTGAAGGCCTAACAGGACGCCACAGATAATGAGGAACCAAGAAGCAAAAAAGGAAAGTAAAGAACAACGGAAAAAGCAGTATCGGTACCTGCAAAACTGTTTCCAATATCCAGACTTCTGTCCTTTTTCATGGAACCTAGTAGAACGCCCACAACTCGTTTGACACTTTGCGTTTTGCTGACACGATTAAAGTGATCGACGACACTGAGCAGGACAAGAGGATGCACAGTCACCTGAAAAAAAACTGGTTTTCTAATGCAAGAGCATTAATCCAGCCTTCACAACAGTTCGCGAATCGAGAACAGCAAACTCAAGACGCTCAAGAGAGTTTAAAAATACATCAAAAGTAGGAGGGAACAGCAAGTTCCTCCGAGGCGCATAGCGCCGAAAGCGCCGAAACTCGAATAGTTTTAAAGCCATCGGAAATGACTGGAACTTACCCTGCTAACCGGTAGATTATTGTGGGTGGCACTTATACAATGTGGTCCAGCTTTCTGTTACATTACATCCAGTGGTAACGACTCCGTCTTCACCTCATCTTTATGCGGAGTCATCCTGCAAATTCCATAATATAAGTATCACAGAGTTTCCAACAAAGTACACCATGCCTCATTATGAACGGCTCAGGAGAAGACACAGATAGAAATGAGAAACACCGAACCCAAAACCACAGCTCAGGTTAAATCATCACAAGGCGTAGTTTAGGCGTAATTTATGTGAGGCCGTACGTAAAACCGCGTTAACATTGCACCATTTGAGCTGTGGCCACGATTTCGATTGGAGTGCGACTGTCGTCGCCTCTCCGATTGCTGGTGGATAATTTCCACTGTTATTAGGTTCCTTATTTTTCACAAATGTTCGGTGCGTACTAAAGCTTTACTCGCTTCAAAATGATTGGGCACGAAATTGAGTGCATTCCCTTGTTCTACTCCCTCCTTGTCTTCGTTCGCAATGTCGTTATCTTAGCTTTTCCTCTGCTAACAAAATAGTCGAAACTATTATCGTTCATGCCGTTTCACCAAGGCCGAGGCCTAAGCATCAAGGCCCCTCAAGAGCTCAGAAGGGAATTTGAATGCTTACAACAGTAGATGCTCCAGAGGTCTCTTTATAACTTCCTGACACTTCCCGTGTTGTACAATGTGCAGATCGATAATTTTGAAGAAGCTGGTACAGTGTAATATTCAGATGCTGGCAGAAAGGGTAGATGACCCGATAAGTCCTTAAAAGAGCACTGCCCTTTTTTCCTATCCAGTAGTCTGACGTGTGACCTATTTACCGGGGTTTGGCCTGTATATTGTTATTCGGTAGACTGCTTATGTGTTTACTTGTATTCTCTTTGCCATGGCGCTCTCCACAAGTAATTCTGGGTGTTTCTGAGCTCTGAATTTGGCTGACACATTAGGAAGATACCTTTATGCACTTTTTTTAACGTTTTTGTGTTTCCGATATAATCAGTATACGGTATGAATTCCTTCCAGGGTGTGTTTCATTCTAATGTTCCGCTAAACAGGTCTGCCATGTTGCGACCGTAATTGGACTGCATTCATACTTTTGCGTCAGCGTTTTGAGCGTTTGCAGGATTTTTGGCGACTTGGAAAGTAGAGGCATTGATCCATCGTTCTGAATGTCTACCAGCGTTTTCAGCGAAGTCGCGATATCCATTGCTTTTTTGGTTGCTAGAAACGCTCGAAACGTTGGATCGATACCTATACTTTCCCATTCGCTTGAAGCGCTGACAGACGCTCAAAAGGCAAAGTATGAACACACCCTTAGTTCACCGATATTTCAATTAGACTGTCCTCTTCAGCGGTTTGACTCTGTATGACAAAGCAGTTGAAAAATCATTCCATTTAGATGCATAGGTTTCTAGAAAACCGAGAATAAAATTTTTCCGCAGTTTTTGTAGGATATGACTGCAAATTACGTCAGCAATCCTATTACTTCGTGCTTTTTCTTGTCACGGCTGGTGCGCTGTTCATAATCAGCTGTGATACATTAGGCTTAGAATGTTGATTATTGCTGAACTGCCGGAGATGATTTCTGTTCGTTTCGAAAAAATTCGCGTTTTCTGTATTCCTACTTTTGTATTTAGCGCTATTCCATAGTGTTCGCTGTAGGCTCATTTGTCATATTTTTGTCGCTGATCGCTATCTCAATATACGACAGCTCTTAGAAAAACGCACAACATGCAATTGTCATATGACAGCATGCGCACAACGCACACAATCTGAATTATTCTTTAGAGCGCATTTTCGCCGTTGAAAATGGCCGTCATTTCACACGCTGCACTCAGTACGGATAATGATTTAGGGGTATTTTGATGCGTATTTTTGATCTTTCTGGGGGATAGGGCACACATTTGTCTCGAACGATATGAATGTTTTTGTGGATTTCCTCTTATGTATTTTTTTGTTTATTCTTATCTGCGTTAACGTCGATGAGCGTATGATTGTTCAGTAAGGTGTCTTTTGTTGCATTGCGGGTTATGTACCATTCGAATCCACGACTTAACACGACAAACGAAACTTACGATTTTTTTTTTCAATTCCCAGTTTTAGATTTTGTTGACCATGCCACACTAGACAGCTCTGTGGGCACTGCCCCCACTGCTCCCGCCCACTATGTGAAGCTCCGCCCACTTTGTGGAAGCCCTGCCCACTGTCGTAAATGTTTTAGATTACAGATCTCAACAGGAAGTGTCGACAAAATAGAAGTCAGCCAAAAGCCCACATTGGGCCACATTGCGAATGTTTTCTTAGTTGCTGTGAAAAAGGGTTGATGCTCGAAAAGTGTAGGGTTCATTCCGTTCTTTGAACAAGAGATAATTTATTTGTTGAATTAGTCTTCAATGATATAGCAGCCTCAGATGGGCAGACCTGTAAGTAGTTGTTTCACCTTTTTTTCGGCACAGCTTGGTAGAATTTTTTAACACATCGCGGACCGCGTGACATGGAAAAGAATCTTTGGCACTATTGAACTATTCCTACCCCAAAAAACTCAAAAAATTTTTTCGCTGAAACGTTGCCTATAGATGTAATTCGATGCGCTGATCACGAATATCACATCCGTTTTGAGCGCTGGCGTCATTTGGCGCCATTATGCGCCAATTTGGCGCCCACCACTTTTTTCACCAAAGTCGATGAAAACTTGCATATGGGGGTTACTTGAGGTCCTC